TCTTTTTAGTTTCTAATTTTTCCATGCATACACATCTAATCTAGGAAGGAAATCATTCCTTACAGAGTAACTTATTATGGAACCTAATACAACACTACACATATGGTCAATACATCTTTGTTCATTGATTGCTCAGTATAATTATTCTTGATATTCAAGTGTGCCTAGATTTATGGTTGAATTGTTACTCAGAACACATATCTCATATGTCTGGGTCATTTACTTTTCAGAATCTTTCATACTAATTGATTTCATTCCCAATCTCTTCATATTCTATATGCATTTTAAAAATGATGATAAACAGATGACAGAGAGATGATAGATAGATAGATAGATAGATAGATAGATAGATAGATAGATAGATATGGAGAGATAAAGAGATAGATAGATCCAGACATGGTGGCATGTGCCTTTGGTCCCAGCTACTCAGGAGGCTGAGTAGGGAGGTTGAGGCTGCAGTGAGCCATAATTACACCACCTGAGCAACAGAGTGAGACCTTACCTCAAAAAAAATCACATAATATGGTATCAGACATTCATTTATTCAATATATATTTATTATTTAGTCAGACTCTGTTCTATGCATAAAGTAGTGACCAAATAAAAAACCATGGTCTTTCCCATGAGGCTTATATCTTACCAAGGCCCATTTTAGGCAGTCAGTGAACAGATAGCAGTAAATTAGAGCCAGAACCCCAAATTCTTTATCTGAGTGCTCTCCCACTCTTCCAAATGGTCTATTTGCACACTGTAACACATACCAAGCATCATGCAGAAGCAAGATGCAAATAAAACAGACATCAGGATCACTCTGCAAGTATCATGGAGAGTGAAAAGAGTACAAGCTACAGAAGTCAAGCAAATCTGGGTTCAAAGTTTGGCTTTGCCACTTCACATATCAAGTTATGTAAGCCTCTAAGCTTCAGTTATAGAATTTATCAATAAAAGGCCAGTCTTGCTGGCTCATGCCTGTAATCCCAGCACTTTGGGAGGCCAAGGTGAGTGGATTGCTTGAGGTCAGGAATTCGAGACCACCCAACATGGTGAAACCCGATCTCTACTGAAAATACCAAAAAAAAAAAATTAGCAAGGCATGGTGGCATATGCCTATAATCCCAGCTACTGGGGAAGCTAAGGCAGGAGAACCACTTGAACCCAGGAGGTGGAGGTTGCAGTGAGCTGAGATTGTACCACTGCACTCCAGCCTAGACAAAAAGAGTTAGACTCTGTCTCAAAAAAAAGAAAGAAAAAAAAAAGGACTTCATCAATACTCACCTGGAAGTATCAATGTGAAGATCAAAAGAACTAATAATATATGTAAAATGTCTATCATCTATCTGGCATAGTGTAGATATTCAAAACATATTCTCTTTTTGTCCATAATCAAATATAATCTAATCTGACAACACCATAGCATGCTTAAAAGGCTGGATTTTAGATTTAGTAAAAGTTAACAGTAACTAGTTTACCTTAAATCACATGATAAAGACTGCTTTCATAATATTTTCCCTATTTTTTTTTTTTTTTTGAAACTGAGTCTCTCTTAGACACCCAGGCTGGAGTGCAGTGGCACTATCTTGGGTCACTGAAACCTCTGCCTCCCAGATTCAAGCAATTCTTTTGCCTCAGCCTCCCAAGTAGCTGGGATTATAAGCATGGGCCACAATGCCTGGCTAATTTTTGTATTTTTAGTCGAGATGGGATTTCACCATGTTGGCCAAGCTGATCCTGAACTCCTGACCTCAAGTGATCTGCCTGCCTCAGCCTCCCAAACTGCTGGGATAACAGGCAAGTGCCATGGTGCCCAGCCCCTATACTATACATTTAGATATGCCCCCTTTCGTATAAAAATTACATTATTATTACATTATAGGGAAAAAAACATGCATTTTGAGTTTTTTCATTGTAATACTTGTCTATATCTTTGGAATATCACTTGATTTACAGGCAGAAATATATAAGATTATCACTAAAAATATATTTATATATAATAATGTATTAAATAATGTATTTAATAAATTTGTATATAACAATGTATTAAATAACATATTAAATCCACAAGCAATAAGTTTGGCCACTGTTCCTTACCTTCCCAACCACATTTGGCCCCACTTCTTTATTAATTCACAATAATTTAGTGACACTGCCCTTCTTTGGGCTCTTCAAAACTACCAGACTCTCCAGCATCTAGATGACATGAAATACCGTGCATTACTCTCTAATGCTAATTAGCTAATGGTTAACAGGATCCCACTCTGACTATAGAGATGCCTTCCCTGACCAACGGCCCTGATAAAGTTGGGCTCCACTGTGTAGGGTGATATGGAGAAGCCTCCTGATGTCAGAGAAGCCTGGGTTCCAATCAGTCATCTGACAACATGGAGTTATGCTACAGCACAGATACACGGCTGTGCAGTTAGAGAAATGTTCGTACACAATGTATATAATTGGCAATTGTGCGTGTGCATTGGCTGGTTGAAAGTATTAGCCAAGGCTTTCAGAAGTGATCTTTCCTATACAATCTCCACTGAGAGGCTTAGGAAATTATTAATATATTCCTGATGAGATAAGGGAAAACAACTTTCTTAAGCGGGACTCCCAGCATGGACTGATTCTTTTCAATCTGCTTTATCCTTGGCTGCCAAACCACACTTTGTGGAGATCTTTAGAAGCATAATAATGGCCTGAGGCACACTGCTATATATGTTCATAGCACCCTGTACACTTCTTCAGAGTTCTTTTTATTTACATGTAATAAATATTTTCTGTTAATATTTGTTTTCCCCACTTAATAGTTACAGGAAGGTAAGGGCTTGTGCCTGTCCTGTTGCCTGCTTAATCTCCAGCACCTACCACCATTCCCATCATACGGTAGGAAACAGATGCAGTAACTACTTACTAGGTGGATGAGTAACTGAATTAAGGAGTGAAAGATGTGTCCATGTGAAATAAATACAGTATGAGAGTTAAGTTTACTTAATGTAATACCTGGAAAGTATATAAAGCAATGTTTGGCACATACCAAGCACTCAATAAATGTTATTTGCTCACCTAGAACAAAAATCACCCAAGTAGGGTAATACAAGAGATAAAAGCTGTCATTGACTGGAAAATCATAAGGTTGAGCTATACTGTGTAGTTATCCCTGTTAGACCACAGTACAATGTACTAAAGGAACTATAGTGATCACCCATCTCAGCAGTTTTTCATTTAATTCATTTTATCATTTGAATATACAAATATTTAAATCCCATATCTTTTCACATATTCCTAATTGAGTTCAACACCCTTAAATAAAAGCATTCACAGTAGAGAATGTCTTGGCCTTATGAGACTCTATGGAATTGAGCAATGAGAGAAATGTTCATGCTCTATTCTCTCCATGGATGGAAAGAAAACTGGTGCTCTTAAATATTTTAAGGAAAGGCCAGCAGGGCACAGTGGCTCACGCCTGTAATCCCAGCACTTTGGGAGGCCAAGATGGCTTGGGCCCAGGAGTTCAAGACCAGATTGGGCAACATAATAGGACAGCATCTCTGCAAAAAATTTAAAAATTAGTCAGGTGTGGTGCCACGTACCTGTAGTCCAAGCTATGTGGGAGTTTGAGGTTGGAGAATCTATTGAGCCCAGGAGGCTGCAGTGTGCCATTGAGGCTGCACTCCAGCTTTGACTGAGACCCTGTCTCAAAAAAACAAAACAAGGCCAAGTGCCGTGGCTCATGCCTGTGATCCCAGCACTTTAGAAGGATGAGGTGGGTAGATCACCTGAGGTCACGAGTTCAAGACCAGCCTGGGCAACATGGTAAAACTCCATCTCTACTAAATATACAAAATTAGCCAAGAGTGGCTGTACATGCCTATAATCCCAGCTACTTGGGAGGTTGAGGCAAAAGAAGCACTTGAACCCAGAAGATGGAGGTTGCAATGAGCCAAGATGATGCCACTGCACTCCAGTCTGGGCAATAAGAGGAAGACTCTGTATCAAAAAAATAATAATAATAAAATAAACAAAACAAAGCAAGGGCCAATCACGTTTTTCCTAAATGTGTGAAAATGAAATGAAGATGAAAGTGCAATAACTTTATATTTCAAGAAATGAAAACCTCAATAGCTCTTTGAAATTAATAAACAGTAAATCTCATAATCAGAAATTAGAGACAAAGGGAAATAATTCATTGATTAGTAAAATTAAATAAATAAAAGGAAGACTGCAAAAGACTTCAGGTCACTCTGCCTCAGTCTATTTCAACACTACAGCAAGCAATATTTCCTGAAGAATTAACTAGAGGAAGTGATTTAGGGAATGAATACCTACTAAAACAAGTTTTGTAAGGTCATGAATCCTGCTTGTTTTGAAATAGATGTCTTTACGCATTCTTACTTATTAGACTTTCACACCTACATTTTGGCCATCTAAACACTTGTTAGAAACTTCCCAACCCACTATCAGTGGAGAGGAATTATTATAAAATCAAATTAATTACTTCACTGTCAGAATCTAATGCACATTGACAAATCAGACACATTTAAACCTGAGGCTTTAAGCAACACATTTAAGAAACCCTCTGCTATGTATACATGCCAAATGAAGGCACTCTAGTAGAATGGACATCTGTGGTCTAGTCTAGTTAACTTTTATTTCAAAGAAGGAATATTCCTAAATCACATAAAGTTGCCTATATTAAGCTTGAATAACATAATAAATATGGAAAATGTGTTCACTAACTAATCTATGGCTTCTTGCTAAAAACACTGCTCTTTTCCATGTGGCCAAATTGATGTTTAGCCTCTAATACATTTGTAATGAATGCTTCCCATTTTACTTTCATAAGTCATTCTTTCCCTTGTTTCTTTCTAAAATTATTACTTTCAATGGCAAAAACAGCAACTACTTTTGCCCCAACCCAATAACTCGTTTAATCCTATGGGATAGTGCAAAGTAAAATCCCTTTGGAATACGTAAGGGAAGAAATTATGAATATTCTAAAGAAGGATACCTACCTCAGGCCCCGTGATGTGCATCAGACCAGAAACAGCAGAGGCAACAGCATCATAACCAGCTCGCTGAGAAATTGGACCTGTTTGACCATACCCTAAAACAACAAGAATAAACATATTCAGCACTACACAGGGTGTGCTAAAATCATTGTACAATAAATATAGTGTGTTAAAACCATTTCTATCCAGAAATCCTGCAGCATTTTAAGACTATTAGATATATACTATTCCTTGAAGAAGGCAGTGAGAACTCATTACAGTGCTCTATCCTGGCTATTCTGTTTGCTTGTTTCTTTGTTTCTTTGTTTGCTTGTTTCTTTGTTTGTTTGTTTGTTTGTTTGTTTGTTTGTTTGTTTGAGATGGAGTCTCACTCTGTTGCCCAGGCTGGAGTGCAATGGCAAGATCTTGGCTCCCTGCAACCTCTGCCTCTCAGTTTCAAGCGATTGTTCTGCTTCAGCCTTCCAAATAGCTGGGACTACAGGCACATGCCACCACACCTGGCTAATTTTTGTATTATTAGTAAAGACAGGGTTTCACCATGTTGGCCAGGCTGGTCTCAAACCCCTGACCTTGTGATCTGCCCACCTCAGCCTCCCAAAGTGCTGAGATTACAGGCATGAGTGGCCTACCCTGGCTATTCTTAAAGAAAATCAGAGGCTGGGTGCAATTTAAAATTTGGACTAAATAAAACAATTACATCAACTAAATGATTTTTAAGATTACAAAGAGAAGGTATCACATTTTTTTTTCTTTTCTTTTTCTTTTTTTTTTTTTTTTTTTGCAATCAGCAAGAATCAACAGAACACAAGAAAGATTTTCTTACTGCTTCCCTCAGTCCTGGTGCTTATTGCTACATTATAAAGACTGTATCAGGTCAGGCACAGTGACTCACGCCTATCCCAGGACTTTGGGAGGCCAAGATGGGAGGATCACCTGAGGTCAGGAGTTTGAGACCAGCCTGGCCAACATAGTGAAACCCTATCTCTACTAAAAACACAAAAATTAGCTGGCCGTGGTGGTGGGTGCCTGTAATCCCAGCAACTGGGGAGGCTGAGGAAGAAGAATCACTTGAATCCCAGAGGCAGAGGTTGCAGTGAGCCAAGATTGTGTCACTACTTTAGCCTAGGCAATAGAGCAAGACTCCATCTCAAAAAAAATAAAAATAAAAATAAATAAAGGCTGTATCAGAAGCTACATGAATCTGTCTCCAACAAGCAGAGTAGCGCAATGAAGAGCTTTCCATACGCATGAGCTACCTGATGATATTCGCTGCATGTGCTGGTTTAGGAAGGCCATGAAAGAGTTGCCTGCTAGCCTTGTTTCTCCGGCCACCTGGAAGACTCTCCCTCAACCTTTTATAAAAGAGCACCCTCATTATATATGTTGCCACAGTGCTTATCATAACAGAAATGTAAAACAGTTATTTGTTAGACTTATTTTGTCTCCTCCCTACTGAAGTGTACACTCTAGAATGTTTTTCTGTTTGGTTCACTGCTGTATCCTCAGCCTCTAGAACAGTGTTGAATAACCTTTATTGAAGGAAGGAATGAATACAAAAATATTTTATATAAAAATAATGTTTTGGCTGGATATGGTGGCTCATGCCTATAATCCCAGAATTTTAGGAGGCCAAGGAGGCCAGATCACTTGAGGTCAGGAATCTAAGACCAGCCTGGCCAACATGATAAAACCCTGTCTCTACTAAAATTACAAAAATTAGCCGGTGTGGTGGCATGCACCTGAAGTCCCAGCTACTCGGGAGGCTAAGACTGAGAATCACTTGAGCTTGGGAGGTAGAGGTTACAGTGAGTCAAGATGGTGCCACTGCACTCCAGCCTGGGCAACAGAGTGAGACCTGTCTCAGAAAATAATAATAATAACAATAAAAATTAAAAAAAACAAATAATCTATAAAAAGTAAATAAAGGAAACTATAGAAGTGAATGATAATCACCGATTAATGTACCCAGATGCATTCACCACCAGAACTGATCTTTGTTACAAATAAGAGTATGTAAAACAAACTCCACAGATGAAATTATCACTCAATATTAAAGAATTAAAAGATCTTTCTTGAATTAATTGCTAAAATAAAAAAATAACTAAAATAGTTCAATATTATATTTATAATTACTGATGATAAAAAAGGTATTAAAACATGTCTCTGCTTATGTTTTAACTTAGAAAATGTCAAATAAAAATAGATCGAATATATAATAAACCCACAGTTGGGCGCAGTGGTGCAAGCATGCAATCCCAGCACTTTGGGAGGCCGAGGTGGGCGGATCACGAGGTCAGGAGATCAAGACCATCCTGACCAACATGGTGAAACCCCATCTCTAATAAAAATACAAAATATTAGCTGGGCATGGTGGCGCGCGCCTGTAGTCCTAGCTACTTGAGAGGCTGAGGCACAGGAATTGCTTCAACCCAGGGGACGAAGGTTGCATTGAGCTGAGATCGCACCACTGCACTCTAACTTGGTCACAGAGCAAGACTCCATCTCAAAAAATACACACACACACACACACACACACACACACACACATACACACACATATATATAAAATAAACCCATCAGTCAACTTCAATAATTATTCGTGGTCAATCTTATTTCCACCATGCCTATTTTTCAATTAGAACTATTACATGAAGAAAAAACAAAATCATTTTTTTCAATTCATATTATTTTTTTTTATTTATTTTTGAGACTGAGTCTCACTCTGTCACCCAGACTGGAGTACAGTGGCACTGTCAGGGCTCACTGCAACCTCACTGACTGTGTTCTAGCAATTCTCCCACCTCAGCTTCCCGAGTAGCTGGGACTACAGGCATGCACCACTACGCCTGGCTAATTTTTGCATTTTAGGTAGGGATGGGATGTCACTATGTTGCCCAGGCTGGTGCTGAACTTTTGAGCTCAAGGGAACCACCTGCCTTGGCCTCCCAAAGTGCTGAGATTACAGGCATGAGCAACTGCGCCCAGCCACATAAAACCATATTGAAAAAACTCAAATGTCTTGATTCAGGTAAATTCCAGTTTTGTCTCCCAATATCAACAACAAAACTTATAAATTCTTAATGATTACTCTCTCAGTCTTTAGAAAAGCAAAAATGGAACATGAAGTAAATAAAGAGAAATAAACTATAAGTCAACATTCTCTGTACAGAAACAAATTAACAGCAAGCTTTAGAGAATGAGTTCCAGGGCAGGCAGCATACTGCTGTTAAGGGCACCCTGGCCCGGGATTCCAGTCTTCAAAGCAATGGTTTTCAAACCACAGGCAGTCCCCAGCATAAAACAATTATCCAGGAACAGAGAGAAGCTGCCAATAGCAGGAAGGCCTGTGCACCGTGAACCACCTGTTATCTCAGCAGGAAGTCACAAAAAGGAATTAAGTTTCAGTTCACTCTAGGTTTGGAAAATCAGGTGCTTCTGGCGAGAAGCCTAAATCCCTCAAATGGGACAAACCCAGATCCCTCACCATCAGTGCAACTCTAAATGGACTCTTCTAGATAAAGGCCTACAGGAAAACTTCTCTTTCTGTTCAGCTTAGAAAAAGGGAGAAACACAAATATCCTAATTACTGTAAATTACAACTTCTAGTATTACTATTAAAGAGAAAAGGAATAGTTGCTCTTGTTGGAAGCAGTAAAGTATAGTGAAAAAGAGGAGTTTGGGGATTAAAAAAAATCTAAATTCAAATTATAGCTCTGACAACTATTAAATCTTTGACATTTATTCAATCTCCCCAAGACTCAATGTCTTCATCTGTAAAATGGCAATATTCAGATTTATCACGTAGATTTCTTATGAGGATTTAATTTGATTAGATAACACAAGCAAAATGAATTTTACATTGAGAGTGAAATATACAGTTACTAAAGATGAATTAATCAATATATTAATACTATATTAGCTTAACTTTTATGCAAAATCTTGAGAATAACAAAAAGAAAACTGCCCTGAGGTATGTCAAATGATGACAACAGACATCTAAGTATTGAAATTCTGTTGTTTAATAAGCCATGAAAATTGAAACATTTTGTAGTTGAAACCTTGCACTTATTCATAATAGCGAAGAAGCTGACAATAATAATAAACCTATATATTCTATAATGAGTGAAAATGTATTCCACCTTTTCACCTTATACTTACCATAACTATTTAAATACTGACTACCTGTACTATCAACAAATATTTATGAGAATAAATAAACAGAATAAAGCAGAGAATGGACATCAAAATGGGATTATGCATGTCAGTTCTATTTTATATATAAGTAGAGCTAAGAAAAATCAGAGAAGTTATGGAAAATCAGAGAGGAGCACCTAACACACATTTTCTTTCTCTTTCTCCCTCATCTTTACCACTTAGTAAGTCACATTCATTTTAAGGAGCAACCTCGCCATCTTGTGGTATTTATGGACACTGAATGCAACATGTGAATTTCTAGACCCAAGTAAAAATGTACAGGGAGGAAGCTAAGGGGAAAAGATTTATTATCTCTTAATATTTTCCCTGACTGCCATATGATCTGGCCTGCCTACCCCATTTTTCTTCATAATCATGTCTAACTTTGTGTTTTCCCTCTCTCCCTAACCTCTACCTTAGAAAGCCGGAGCTACCACTGGTGCTCTTGTTTTCTGTAATTCCTATGACACCTCCCATCAGTGCTCAATGCACTGTCTGTTAATGGTTACCCTTTTGGAGGTCACAGGTCCCTTTGACAAACTGGTAAGAAGCTATGAACTCTCCTCAGAAGAAAGTAATTCAACACATGCTCATATCTTAGAACCCCATTCATTAACCCCTGCTGCCCTGTGTTATGAATCAGGTTAAGTACCTTCACTAGGTCATCACTGCTCCAGGCCTGGAGCACCTCAATTATCCAAACAATTCTCCCGACAGGGATCTGTTCAAGGACAGCTGTGAGGCTTCCAAGCAAGGAAGAGACTCAGGATGAGGCCTTTACTTGGTAATAAAAAAAAAGAGACAACAAAATAAAGTATCTTTCATCTAGATTATTTCATTAGCCACCTATTTCTGCCCTGAGGTATGCAAATGAATACCCTACCTCATTCTTGACTCTTGT